TCTTTCCTTCTTCACTCGTTTTGTGTCCCATTCCTTATCAGCATTACATAGGCACAGCCTTACACCCTCATCCCTGCATATAGCCATTCTCAATCTACCACTTTACACACGAATCCCTTGAAGAGCTACAGATCATCTCACATGGATAACCTGTTTTGACTTTGCATGTTACACACATCACAAGAACTGGATGCCTTTTAAAATGCATATTCTCTTGCTTAATTATCACTTCTTTTACCAGGCTTTCAGCCCTTTATAGAGCTGCATGTGCTGAGGTCAAAATATTTCCCCTACTGTATCGTTTATATAGTTTTTGTGTTTTGTTTTTGTTTTTGTCTTTGTTTTTTTTCTTAAAAAAAAAAAATTAAAAGAAAACATTTCCCCTAGCACATGTGGCTCCTTGTAGCGCACACAGCTTCCTTTCATTCACACCATCTAACAAACAATCACACAATGGGTCACGGGCACCATAATTCCACATAATACACTGCCACACACACATGAGTACATGTGTTACTATTCACTTTTCCAGTACCAGAAGCATTCACCAGATATGTACCAGTGTGTGTACAGCTATAGGGGCAGAGATGGAATGGAGATGGAGATGGAGATAAAGATGCAGATGGAGATAAAGACTGAGGTGTAGGTTGAGTTGGAGTTGCAGGTGGAAATGGACAGGACAGAGAGAGACAGAAGTAGAGCTAAAGGTAGAGATAACAATAGAGAAAATCGGTCTCCAAGAGAAACCGCACAACCCACTTTCCTTATAGCCATGCAAAGTATACACTTCAAATAACAATTCCACACAGGCACTCCCATAGACATTCTGCTGGCATCTTATCTCCTTAATTTTTTTTTGGGTTTTTTCTTTTGGTTTTTTTTTTTTGTGGGGGTGGGGGGGTGGGTTTTTTTCCAGTACCAGGAATCGAACTCACGACCTCGCGCTTGCCAGGAAGGCGCTGTGCCACTGAGCTAAATCCCCAGACCCTATCTCCTTAGTTTTGAAATCAGTTACCTCAATATGTTGCAGGTCTTGGATCACCGGAGATGCCTTTAGATGAAGACATGATGGAAAGGGAGAAATTACGTTATAACTTGCGTTCCCCTTCCCCATGCTTCTTGGATAGCCACTCATCATCTTCAGAATCTTCTGAAAAGAAACGCGTCATGAAAGTTTACTACATGCAAGTCCCAAAGAAAAGGGGTGCAGATGCCTTAGGGGATGCAGAAGACCTGGAGCCGCCCCAAAAGAGGATAAGAGCAGCAAGTGTTAGCATTCCTAGGAAGCTGCTTCCAAAGCTCAGCCTCCCTTCCGTAAGGGACACTAAGTGATAGTGAGGACCGCTCCCCCAGTGAAGTCCAGGAGCAAAGGGAAGAGGCTGAGAGACCATCAGGGCCTCGGGATCAGGAGGCAGGGGGCAGCATCCAAGCCCCGGATGAGCCGGTGGGCCTGGAAGATGAATTCCAGTGCATGGGATGCCACAAGCTCTTCCGCACCATGGAATAGCTGAAGAGGCACGTGGAGCATGCGGGCGAGGAGGCTATCGAGTGCCTTAATTTTCACCTCGCACTTGCCAAACCAAGGCCAAAGAGGAAGACAAAGAAGATCCAAAGGAGGCGGAATATTGAGATAAACAGAATATCTCAGGGCTATCTAGCGACTCTTTTCTGCATGTGGTTGTTTTTCTTACGATATTTTGGGTGCTTTTTTGCTTTTTATCCACTGAAAATGAAATCACTCATATTTCTTGATAAATATGAGGCAATAGTTTATGGGGCCACCAGGAATCTTTTTTTGTTTCATCCAAAACCAGCCCCTGAGAAATCAAGTACGACCCCTGATCACAAAGAAACAAAACCAGTTCCAAAAGTCAACCACAGGAACACAGACTGTGCTCTTGGCCATACAATGTCCAGCTTCTTCCCCCACGGTCGGGTGCCAAATGCAGCCGGGCAGTTTCGGTTCAGCGCCACGACAAACATTTCCAGGGGGGTGATGCTTATAAATAAACACTCTTTCAGCTCCTAAAAGACAAGAAGAAAGTCAGCACAAATTCATCGAGACAGCTTCTTTATACTTTATGTTAGCTTAAACAGGGCTCAGAGACTCACCATGTAGCCCTGAAACCATTCAATTTTATTACTGCCCACATTAACATCTGCAAATACACACATGATGCAAGAAATGTCAAAACATACAGAACTTTGGCAGTGCCAATTGTAATGCCTCATCTGCCCTGCATTCACTCCCAGACACTTATTTTCCTCAAAATGTACTTTAATACTTTGATACATTCTCTCTAGCTGTTTCTATAACAGTGATGACAGACTGTCTCCCATGGTGAACTATGATCTACTTCTCAGCATATTACTTGGTTGAACATAAATTGATTGAGGAAAGGACATGTAACTTTATGGATGGAACAAAAAATAACTAAAACCCAACCTTTGGCTTCTCTAAGTTTGCGCATGTGTAGGTTTACAAACGTATATAGTCATGCTAAGAAGGAAGGTAAAAGGTGTACATAGAGGTGTCCCCACAATCAGAGTGCCACTTTAATCTTAATAACTTTAAAATCATAAGTCTCACCAATTTTTGGAAGGTATCCTTTGTACATTTAATTATTTACCTGACATGTGACTTGTTTAATTCTCAGCAATTTCCAATATAATTTTTAATTCCTGTTTGTCACTCTTTGTCATCTCCCACTGAGGAACAAAAATGAAAACCTGACAATTTGGAATGTATTATGGACAGTTCCCAGACTTTATGTGGTGTGATCAAGAATATTGTGACTATTTAAGTTTTTAAAAATTATTATAGTTAAAAGCCCATTGCTGTTAACATCTCTCACAGTAATGCCCCTGGCTTTGAACACACTTATTCCATCATTTTCGCCACTTTCTGAAGCATTTCTGGAAGCCTTTGGTGAGCGTCTCTAGTAATGCTCTCTTGGCTCTCTTGATGTCCTGAATCAATTCAAAATGTGCCGGGCCAGTAGGGAAGATGCACTGTACCTTTTGAATTGATTCAGGACATCCAGTTAGCCAGGATAGCATAACTGAGGACACTCTTGAAAGAGGACTTCCAAACATGCTTCAGAAATTGGCAAGAAGGATGGGATACATGCGTTCAAAGCCAGGGGCATTCTTTTGAGGGGGATTAACAGCAATAGGTCTTTTACCATAATTCTTTTTCTAAATTTAAAATTCATATTATTTTTTCAATCACATCTCATATTTTGGGGAAGAGATATTAGAATAGTTAAATGTAGAAATGACAACGACTTTCTTTAGAAATTGTATCTTCTATAAGTTTATCATTATGAAGACTGAAACTGCCAGAAGGCATTTGGGGCCCCTACTTACGTGCATATTTATTTATCTTTTAACAAATTTATCGATTTTTCTGTCCTTCTGATTATCTCTTTGTGTGACGATTATCTGCGCTAGTGCACGTGCACATACAGACAGGAGCCAAAATGGTTGCGGTTACTTTACCCCCCTCGTACTTTCTGTTTTCTTCATGGGAAAAGGTCTTCTCCATCCCACCCCACCTGCAGAAAATGAGTGCCAGTAGCCAAAGGAGGCCCTTACTTCACTATTTGACTTGGTGGCTGACCTATCTATGCCTGTTGGACAATCTGTAGTGATAGCTTGGAAATTTTAAGGAGAAGACACAGAGATGTTGACTTTTACCTTTGAACAGTCTTCTGTGTGCAACTCCTAATGAGGTCTATAGTCCTCAAAAGCTGGTCTTTCTTCAATTCTCCGTTCTTTAAAATACCTCACTTTGTCAACTGTTACTTTAATTCCCTGAGCATCTCCTCTAAAATCTTCAATAAACTTTTGTTTTGCCTCTAATATCTTGAGTCAGTTACTACTTGTTACCCCTTGTACCTTATTTGATGCAGACCAGGTTTGAGAAGATAGTTTCTTCTACTTTGACCAGTTGAAATGAAACATCCCATGAAGCAGTGCATGTTTTCATCCTCACTATCATGCTATAATGAAACAACAAGAGATGTATTTTACCTCAGGAGAGACCATGTGTTCTTCATTGATTAGGGAGATACACAAAGAATTTTGGAGGAAAAAAAAAACCAACACCATTCTTTGACACCATAAACCTGTGAGTTTAAATCCCTCCTGCCATTTACTGTCCTATAGGCTTTTAGATTTAGCTATCTTGTCTTGGAAATGGAAAGTACGTTATTTAAATGACAGTGTCTGTGAAGGTAACACGGCACAGGTAAAAGTCGAGGTGAGATAATAAAAATGAGGGCTGAAGATGCTCTTCCTTCTGGCAGCCAGTGGGGATCAGGCGTCACTGGCAGCTGCCACACTCCTAGTCCTCAGTGTGCTGAGCGTGGCCCTGGATAACTATCCCCAGCATGTCCTGGCTGCCTTTGTGGCTGCCTGAACATGTTTTCAGCCCAGTTCCTGACAGCTGCTATGTCCTTCACTGCACCGCCCCTCTGGACCACTGTTGCTACCTCTGAGGAGTGGTGAAAGGGCTCGCCCTCATGGAGCAAAGATTGAGGAGGACCCAGAGCACACTGCTGATATCCCCAAATCCACGAAGCCAATAGGCTGTGCTCAGTTCTGACGTCCCACCAGGAGACTCCTGATAGTAGGGACAGTCAGCATTATGGCCCCATTATGTCCTCAGGAAAGTTGGGGCTGTCAGTGAAGCAATTGCTTTTCCTGAAGGTGGTCCGAGCTGTCACCATGACAGATGCAGCTCTTATATATCCCAAGAGTCTGTCTGGGCCACAGTGAGATGGACATATGGGCCTATCCCAGATGACTCCGCCCTGCACCTGCTCTAGATAGGAACTGAGAACTAAGAGAATAAAAAAGCCACAGGTTGGTCGTGGGCTTCAGGAATATCCCATGTCACCTGCAATCAAGGTATTAGCAAGATGATGGCTTGTCCCAGATCTGTGCTGACACAGCTGGTTTTATACCAGCACCATGAATCCTCATGACTCTTCCCAGTTCATCTGGGCTCCAAACTGAAACCTGGCATGAATGTGTTTGAATAGGGAACCCTAAACTGTATCGTAATCTCTCACAATAGTGCTGTTAGGGAAATACAAGCTTTTACTTTGAATGTAATTTTTCATTTTCCAGCCTCTGACATCCAGAGAGGCACTGCAGAAAAAGTTCCAAGAGATCCTGACCAAAATGATAACAGTCTCATCACATATATCCACCCGCTGGTATGATCTGAATGTTTGTGCCGTCCTATTCTTGTGTTAATAAATTAGGAGTGATGATACTAAGGGTTGGGCCCCTGGTAGATGATTAAGTCATAGAGGTCTGCTCTCATGAATGGAATCAGTGCCATTCTACAAAAGCCTTGAGGGAGCTTATTTGCTACTACCAGCTAGGAGCACACATGGACCAGGAGTCTCTGTCTGAGGAAAGACACTGAATTTGTTGGTAACTAGATCTTTGGTACCAGCTGGTACCTAGCCTCTAAAACTGTAAGCAATATGTTTCTGTAATTTATAAATTAACTACTCTGCAGTGTTTTGTTATATGAGCCAAAATAGACTAAGAAAAATTTCCTCCACCACTTTTCCCCGATACCCTCTTTTAATATATTTTTACTACACTACACTGTACTATTTCCGGGAAGAGTTCTTTTTTCTCACTATCTCAGCTCCCTAAGTTTCCACTCATTCCTTATACTGTGAAATGTGAATATCCCTGTTTCATACCACATGACCTTTTCAATATCCTTATTTTAATTTTTTCCATTATTTCCACTCCTTCTGAATATCCCCTGAATTTTGTATCTCAATCCTATTACACTTTATACTCTGAACCTGTCTACCTATGTAGTTTATTACCGTATATGATAATCCTCAAGCCATAAATCCAACCATACATTTTTTTCTCAAAGATAAAACTAGATTCCTGCTACCATCCTGAAAGTGTCTTTCTGCATGCCTCAATTTACCTCTACTTAGGAAATAGTAAATGGAAACCAATACCACATTTCTATGCTATGTGGATATGTATTTCTCAAATAATTCCCTTTAAAGTTAAATAAGTATCTTTTCCGTGGTAGCAGAAATTGAACTCACAACTTTGTACTTGCCAGGCAGGTGCTGTGTCACTGCACTACATCCCCAGCCCAAATAAGCATCTTTTAAAAAATTAAAAAATTTTTCCAGAATTACAATTTCAAATTTTGATCTTTTGGAAGTTTAGAGTCACAATTTCAGAGAGAATGATATGATTCCCTTGAGAATGGTATTTTAACATTGAGAATTTTGTCTTTTGGGGATTATGACCCAAATCCATTAGTCAGAGGATGGGAAATAAATTCAACTAAAATTCAGAGGACTTCTACCTCAGTAAAATCTCTAAAGCCCTTCTACGGTGAAGGGCTAATTGTGGGTCTGGACCCTCTGACTACCAAAAAGAAATAAACATCTAGTAGGGTGTTTTGGATTTTGGAGGCAATATATTTCTCACTTGGGTTTGTTATTCTCGCTCACTTACAAAATGTCCTGAAAAGTTGCTAGTTTTTAATGGTGACCAAACAAGAGAAAGCTGTGTAACAGGTCTTGGGTGATGGGTAATCTTTCTTGCCATTTAAGCCCAGATCCAAAGCTGTTTGAGGCTCAGTGGCACATAAGATGCTACTTGGAGCCTTAGCATGCCTTCTAGGCAAACTCCATGATAGGCCTTTAGGATTTTGCATTCAAACCCTGTGATTCTCCACATATAACTACTCTCCTTTTGAGAAACAGCTCAGAAGGAATAGTGGGCCTTAGGAGAGACTAAAGATCTCACCACAGAGTGCCAAGTTACTACTCAACCTTTGTTGCCTGTCATGAACTGGGTGATGCTTTAAACCACAAAGTTGGGCATGTACGCACACTCCATCACCAAATGGAAGTAGTATATACATGACCTAAGCCATTCCTCAAAGCCAGAAGACTTCAAGCTAGTTTCCCATTAGAAAGGATTTTACAACACCATAGTGATTTCCTCAGTCCTTCCCCAAAAGGCTGATGAACACTTATGTAAGAAGCCATATACTGAGGAAAAGAGAATATTCAGATCTTTTGAGACACAGTGTCCAGGTTAATAGTGATTCCCTCAGAAATCTCCTCAAAGAGAGTTGCATTAAGTCCAGCAATTCCATCTTCTAGATACTTACCTCAGAAAGAAGCAGTACCAGTATATATACTCATATCACTTCTACATGCATGTGTATGTATACAGCTGTTGGCATGGCATGGGCCTTTTATGCGAAGTATGTTGCTTTGTTGCTAAGCATGCCAACACGGGCCCAGTATCTCACACAAAATTCTTCCTAAATTCAATTGATTTCAAGATTGACCTAGAAAACAAATTCTGACACAGTTACTACAGAACCATGACAGACAGACAACAGTGACTAAACTGAGCCAGAGAAGTCCACAGAAAAGTCTGATATCAAGTCTTTCCTGTTGATATTACAGCTCTGCCACCTGTTCCTTCAAGCAATGGGAGAGTGTTCCTTGAGTGCCTTTTCTCATTTTTGCCTCACATCCCTATTCATGTCATTTAAGAGGAAAGCTGATCTTCTGAACACACTTAATTTCTTTCTGGAGGGTACTTTCAGGCATAGCAGGGTAGCTGCAATTTCTGTTGTGCAATCAGGGCTGAACTTCAGAGAGAAGAGTAGCAGAATATTTTCCCTAGAGAAAATGTTGTGTGAGTTCCTAGGTATATGAATTTAGAAACATTTTGCTAGTCTGGGTCAGTTCAGCAGAAAATCTGTTTCAGTGTAGTTTAGTGGTGAGAGAGTAGAAACATTCTCACCCTAAAATGGTTGTATTTTAGGAAAACAGTTTCATTTGCTAGGGGAGATCAAGCTATACAGTTGTACTGAAATATTAAAAATTATTTCAGTAAAAGCCACATTGCCATTAATTCTCAAAATACTCACTTCAAACATACTTGTCACATCATTCTTGCCACTAAAGCAGTTCTGGAAGTCCTCTATTTGTGTCTTTATAAGGTGTAATAAAAATATGGAAAGGCATGCTCAGAAAACATTATGATTTGTCCTCATCCTTCTTATTCATTGGATTTGGCACCATGAGACTTCGGGTTTTTTCCAAAAGTCAAAATGACCATGAAAGGTAAATGTTTTAAAGCAATTCACTGGACAGCCATGACAGCCCAACTGGACAGCCATGACAGCCCAACTGGACAGCCATGACAGCCCACTGGACAGCCATGACAGCCCAACTAAAGACACTCACAAAAGAGGACTTCCAGAACTGCTTCAAAACATGCAAGAATGATGGGGTAAGCATGTTCACAGAGAGGAGGAGTATTCTGAAGGGGATTAATGGTAATACAGCTTTCACTGTAATATGTTTTTAAGTCTAGACATGCACCATGTCTTTGAGTCACACCTCATATTTGAGTGTTCTGACTGTATAGTGGCACCGTCCAAACCATATTTAGTTTGCCTTAGTTTCCTCTTTCTAAACCTCCAATAAAATTAAACAATTGAGTTGATCTCAGCTCTTGTAAGAAAGGAGAAAAGGTCATGCAGGTAGGCAAGAAGAAAGACACAGTTACAAGGCAGGAAAGCCACCATCTACACTGACCACAAGCTATCTCTAATCCCGTTACCAAGGTGACTCTGAAACTAGTTACACGTGGTTATTTGCACTCACTAACTCTCGCCAGTCTGCATCACATATTCTAAGTGCTCCTGCATGGTTAGCTGCTTTCCTCTGGGAGGCCTTCTGTGACGAGAATAACTTTATTATTAGTAGCTAAGCATGATGACTCATTCTTTAGATTGGTGTATGCTTAAAGGGCACTGTTACTGGAGGTGAATGCCTGAGTCTCCAGAGCACACAGCGCCAGCGCCTCTCGCTGGGCTGGTCACTGAGCAGAGATGCTTGAGCCCTGACTGGTCTTGAGCCACAAATCTGCTTCTTGAGATAGCTCTGCTGGATGTGAACTCATGCTTCCAGTTTCATATTTGGAAAATCCTAAGAGTTTTTTTCTTCTAACTAAACGTCATTTAACAAATATTTGTTAAGTTTCTACTATGTGCTTGCCTGTTTGTTAGCAGTAGACACACATAGGCCAAAACAAATAGATGAATTTTTTTTCTTTATGGAAGGAACCATTGCTACTAAGAGAATGGAGACAGATTCCTGGGAGCTGCTGATCTCAGCATTTCATCAACTGATCAGTGCATAGCCTTGCTTTTGTATTTTTCTGCCTAAAGACACCCCATCTAATACTTGCTGCTGATGTATTAATGCTGAAATCACAGCCAGACAGCATTATGACCCTGAACAAAGCTCACCCAACACACACACATCTCTGTAAGGCACAGCACGGTTTCCTTATGCTTTTGGAACACTAGGTAGTACTTCAGCACAATGCTCGGGGTCCATTTTAAACAGAAAAATCAGCAACGAAAACACAAAAAAATATAAATACACTGCACTGAATGGACCAAGAAAAAGACACAGTATGAGCTGAAATGAAAAGGCAAAATGCCAACTTGTTCTAACCATAGCCAAGAATGTACTTGTTGGATAACTCAAAATTTTACTACCCTGTGCCTATCCAAGAATAATCATGAAAGTGCCTCGAATATTAATTTTAGCACTACATATAATTTTAGTAAGCCAGTAAATCTGCAAATATAAAACGGGTGAATAACCATGATTCCAGTGCACGTGCGTGTTTGTAAATGGTACTTTGAGGCCATTTCTGTGTTCACTGTGTTCTTCACATTGCCAGGGAGTAGAGGGTTTAGTGGTCGTTGAATAGTAAAGATCTTTAAGCCTTCAGGGATGGTGCCCTGGCTTCTTTTCCCAGGAGTTCTGAATTTCTTTTCCTTTTTAGTACTAAGGATCAGTCCCAGAATAACCAATTATGCCATTTTTCATTTGGGGATAAGGCCTTTCTAAATTGCCCAAGCTGTCCTTGACTTGAGATCCTCCTGCCTCAGCTTCTCAAGTAGCTGGAGTTGTAGGTGTGTGCCACCATGTCTTGCTTGACGTCATTTCTTAGTTCAAGGCTTTGGGCCCTACTAAGATGTAAATCTCATAAGAAACATGACATTTTAAAATATCACTAGTCCCTTAATCTTTGAAGCGAATGAAGTTGAGAACTTTTGGGGGTAAGTCCAGGCGACTGAAGGAGGAGTTGGGATTCACATATCCTCGAGTACTATACGCTTTCTCTCCACACTGCCTCAGTCATCTGATGACTTTCCACTTTCTCCTACCACCTCAAATTAGAAGGCTTCTCTGTCCACAGCCCCAGCCACTGACTCTGCCACGAGCTTCACACCACCACACTGATAGATAAATGTATGTCTCTCAGTTCAAAATCTAAGCATAGCATGGAATTAATTAAAATCCACACCCCCTTTTTGGTACCAGGAATCCAACTCAGGACCTTGCACTTGCCAGGCAGGTGCTTGTGCCTCTGAGCTATATAAGCTATATCCCTGGCCCTGTAATCCCCCTTGAAGTCATCCCTTCTTACTCTGATATCCAGATAGAGGTAACTCCCTCCAGCTTTATCACCCAAATTAGAAATCTGAATGTTATTTTCAATACCTTTCTTTGCTTTTGCATTCACTTGTTCTTATAGACATCTATTGCAGCTGAAACAAAACTTACCCATGTTATAGATAAGTGTCCATTTACATTTATGCATTACCATTTTTAACAGCTTGAGATAAATTCTGAAATGTTTTGCAACATATTAAACAATAAAGTATTCCAGTTACTGGGTAATAACAACAAGAACAACACACAGCAGAAGCTTCAGGTAATGTTCCTCATTGTCTAGTTTACAGTTCAAGTATTGCTTCTGCTCAAGAGTGACAAAAACAGCTCAGACAATGAATTAAAGCAAGATTGTTTGCAAGATGGAAAACAATTATACTTCTTTCTAAAATTATATTTAAATTAAGGAAAATGTAACTTTAAGAAAAACAGACTTATAGTCATTTCTTCTCTCCTCATCTAGTCAATTGTTTTAGTTGCTTTTCTCTCATTGCTGAAACAAAATACCAGACACCAGAAGTTAAAAGGGGAAAGGCTTATTTAGCTCACAGTTTGTAAAGCTTTCAGTTCATAATCCGTTGGCTCTAAGGCAGGGTGGAACATGGCAGAGCGGCAACCGTTAACGGTGGCGGAAGATACCAAAAGCAACAAGAGTGGGGGGCAGAGAGAGAGAGGACAAACCTCTTTCTGTCCCTTATATTGTACGCAGGCCACCAGCCCTAGAGCAGGTGTAGCCCTCACACCCTTATTCCTAGCACCCTTAATTCCGGCATTGAACTACAAATCAATCACAAACTCTAGATTCAGCAGTTTCCAAAAAGCACTCCCCCTCCGTGATCACATGAGGCTTTAGAGGGACATCCAGATGCAAATGGTAATAGCAATGAATACATATAGCTAACTTCTCTGTGACATCGACTTCTTCGGATCCACCTACTCCATTGCTCCTTTCTTAGCTACAATACCCGCTTCCAATTCGTCCTCCACGCTGACCATGTAGCCTTCCCCAACTCACCCCACTGGCTTCTAAAAGCCTACTCGGACTCCTCGCTATACAATTATTAAGTCTCATTTCCTTTCATGACATTCAGGGTCCTCTTCAGTCTCAATCAACTAACTTCGCACTTAACCCTCCCACAGAATCTCACAGACTATGTGTTACAATGTGAGAACAGTTGCTAAAGTGAATAATTTTTCAAATCCCAAATCAAAATACTTCCTTTTATTATTTAAAGAGTAAATGTGAGGACATTAGGATAAAATGGTGTTTAATCCACACTGTTTTGAAAAAGTCTAGGTCCTCTGCTGTGATTTCTACTTCTTTGTTCTTTCTCACCCCTGTCATCATCTTTTCCTATTTAGGAGGATCCATGATTTTCTCAGTCTGCTCTCTCTCTCTCTTCCCAGAAACTGATAGACCATGTACACACCCAGGTCCAGATCAAATGCTCACCCTCCATTGCCCAATTTAAATTAATTGCTTTCTTTGTAAGTCCTCTCTTAAATCCTTTACATATTTTTCCTGCATAAAGAAATATATGTGTGTTTTATTCTCCTTTATGTTCCCTTCAGCATCCAGTTGTAGTAAACTTTCCTTAAATGTAATAAACACTCTTAGTACCTCACTTGATTCTCACAGTGGATTTCTTATATGCTATTGCCATTTTATCATCAAGGAAACTGCATCCTGTGATAGATAAATAACTTGTCCAGATTCACGTGTGCAACTCAAGCCCAATTATCGGTGGCATCAGAGCTCTGCAAGCACAAGAAGTGTTCAAAAAATAGTCTTCTGGGGCTGGGGATTTAGCTCAGCGGCACAGTGCCTGCCTGGCAAGCGCAAGGTCATGAGTTCAATTTCCAGACCCGGAAAAAACAAAACAAAAAAACAAAAAAAAAGTCTTCTAAAAAGCTACATCAAATCAGGTGCACCAGGAGATAAGAGGACCATTCCACAAAAGAAGTTAGAACCAAAGAGATTAGAGGCCTGATATTTTTTCTTTATAATAAGAAAGATACCAAATAATTGATTCCATTTCAAAGGTCATTGTGGGTGAAGTACAAGAGAAATGAATGAGTGGAAAGTAAAACAAAAAATTAAATGTAAAAAGCCATGTTCAAAATGCATTTCCTCCCTCCTTTATCAGAGCTGGGCATTTTCTCTTTCACCGTTTGCCAGGCAATTTCTGAAACATTCCCCCGTACAGTGAGTCATGCGCTGAGTCAGCCACATAGCAGCCCCTGCTCTGCCAGCACATGTCAGCAGAGCTGAGGAGTGCAGCCCGTCTCTACTTAGGTTCTACAGCCCCGGACTCACCCGCACACCATTCACTCACCCACCCCCACAGCTTTTACTTACACCGTGAGCCGTGTCCAACTGGTGAGGCCCAGAGAACAAA